GCAAAGTAATGAAACTATAAAGTCAGTTAATTTAGATATCAGAGGTCATTATATATAACACAAGAAAATTTTGTACGACTGAAAATGAAATAAAAAAAACCCCAAAGGTAATTAAATAGAACAAATTTGGTTTACATGTCTAAGATAAAGAAAGTACTGTTAAATGAAAGAACAATAGAGCATCAAACTAAGGCAGTGACATTAAGTAGGACACATGGAATTAAGTGATCAATATTTCCATAAGATAAATGCTGCGACACGCTGGGCTGACAAGAATGATTGAATTTTCAATGTGGGAAGTCAAAATGATCTACAAGAGAAGCTGAAATAATTTGTTTCTTTATATTATGACAGTATGCATTGTAGAACATTGCTTGCAGAATTGATTCTTATCTCAAGGTTGGACACACATTTTTCATACTTGAAGCTATATTAATCTCTCCTGCTGAAATGCATCTTCAACAAAGCTGACCACAAGCGAAATATTTCACTGGAGCTTTATAATAAATGCATCCTCTAATTAGCACAGTTTTGCCAGTTACTTTGTTTTTTTCCAGACAGTACACTCTCACAGACTTTTGTGAACTAAAGTAGCATCTTGGAATGGGTACAGGAGATAAATTTGCTTGTCTGTTAAATTAACCCCTTAAAGAACAATAAAGTAATTAAAAGGCAGTGAAAAGGCAGTGTTTACATTGCAGTCTAGGAACACTTCTAGTGGCCATTCTTGAGACGTCCACTAGAGATGCCTCCTGGGTCAGTGCTGCACAGCGTGCAGCACTGACGTTAAGCGTCTCCACGCTTGGCATGGATATGCTGAATGCTCCCCATGGAGATACCTTGATTCAATGCATCTCTAATAGGAGATGCTGATTGATCAGAGTGGTGTTTGGCACTGCCCCCTGCTCAGCCTCCTTGGCTGACATCATCAGAAGTGATGATGTCAGCCAATTCAATGCTTTCCTGTGGGAAAGCATTGGATTGGTTGAGATAATCATTTCTGATGATGTCAGCCAAAGAGGCAGATCGGGGGGGCAGAGCCTATGACAACCAAGGTTTGAGTATATTACTCCTTGAAGGTTCTGAGGGAGTAAACCCTCTGGTCATCAAAAGGAGAACAAGGTTAAGAACAGAGAAGGCAACCTGGAGACCCTTTTTTATATTAATGTGAATGGTATTAAAATTAAAAAGCAAAATAGAAAGCTACAGAAATGCAGACACTAGTTGCACCCAATTTGAATGCACAGCTACTAAGAAAGTGATAATAGAACAAGAAGTTCTAGAACAGCGATGTCAGAGAGACATCCTGTAGCAATTTGTAAAATTAAACTCTCTTGAAAACAACCTCTATTTTATAAGCCTGTTTAAAGGAATACAAACCTCTCTATAATGGATTGCATGACGCTGTAAAAAAACGTCAGTGTTGAGAAGTCACCTTTTATGGTGTGCAGGAAAAAATGGATCTAGGGGAAAAAATATGAATTGTATTTTGTATTCAGATGGAGTAAAATTAAATGTGCCTCTAGGCAGATAAAAGAATACAGTGTCTAGGATTTATGGGATCTAATCATTCAACTATAAGAACTAAAACTAAAATGCAAGATCATCGTGACATATTTCCCCCCGCTAAGTGATTATGTGCTTTTCCCGGCTAGAGAATTGTTATCCAGCCCGTGAGTACCAATAGTTTAGTTCAGAATGTCTCGGTTCTGTTCCAAAGAGGAAACTAGCAAAACCTTAACTGTTGTGAGTTCCTGGGGACTAGGGTCAGAACCACTGTTCTAGACCATCATGACTTCATTATTTTGGTCTTTCTAAATATGGGTCCACAGCAAATTGGAAAAATAATATTTTGTGTAGTTTAATAATTCAGTACAGTCTGTGCATTTTCCCTTTTCCAACATTGTCTCCATTGCTAGACTAATGAAGAATGTGTGTTAGATTTGTTAAAACACGTAAAACCACTTTAGGTCCCATTATGACATTGCTGGATACGTATTAGCATTCAAGTTGACAATCTGTTCTTAATTATTTGATTTCAAAGTCAATGCTGTTCTCCCAATGTATTTCGACAAGGACATTGATTCAGGCACATTGCATTAGTGAGATTAAAGCTGAGCAATTGCCACGTTCCTGTTAAATACTTGTTACAAACACACTCCATTCCCAGTAAAAGAAAACAAAAACAAAAAATGTAATAAACATCAATTTTCATTTTCAGTGCATTGTCAGGGAGCAAGGTGTCTTAGATAAAGGGGTATGAGTGATTTAAAGCCACTGACAATAAAGTTTGTGGCAACAGCTACCCATTAGCCAGTGATGAGCTTCACGCGGTTCCACTAATGTTTACATTTTATTCATCAACATACATTTACATTATTAGCTTTAGTCTCTCCAGTCATCATAACAAATATTATGCATTTTAAGCTTTTGGCCTAAATAATAAACTGTATTTTTGGCATAACCAAATTTGCATAGTTTTTTACTAAAAACAAGTTTTGCAGAAATCTACATTTAACCCCTGCCTTCTCCATCTTGCTGATTCAATAGTATTCTTTATTTTATTGTTTTGGATTTTTTTTTTTTTAACTGATGTTTAAATGTATTATTTAAATCTTGAAGGACAGCTCGTGGTCTACAGGTACTGCCCTGACTGGTAGGACATGTTCGGCCGTTTTTACCTCTTTAATACTTTTGTTAAATTTCTCACTAGATAGGTCTAGTTTGATGCTTTAGTTACCTAGTTTATAGTGTGATATTTTGTAGTGCTCAAAGGATCTTTTCCCCATTCATGGTTCAATGATGAACAAGTATATAATCATTTAGGTTTGATTTTCTTATTGAATTTGTATCAAAGCTTAACAATAGAAGAACATACATTCTTTATTATGTATTATAGTAGTTGATTTAACATTTTCTGTTGTAATTGAAAGGCAAGAGTTTATGGGACCAACTTTTAATTTTGAACAATGCTCTACATATGATGCATTGCAGCAGCTTAGGTGACTGAAATGTCCATTCAACATGCCCCTAAATTCCGACACATAGAGCTAAAATTCATTAGACGCAGGGAGCATAGAATTCCACTGAGCAAATATCTTCTGTATGCACTTCGAACATAAGCTATTGTTTGTCTGCAATATAAGTAACACTTAGAACACTGATTCAGTAACTCTACAGACAATAACGTGCGGTCGAAAGTTGCCTTTCTGTAATATCTTTGATTTATATGGACAAGTAGTTTTCAATTTACATTGCCGCGTGCTTCGCTGATCAAGTTCTATAGGTTATAAATTGAAATGTATAGTTTGCCCTCCAGTTTGGCATAATAGATTGGAAAAGACAGACAATTTCATAGTTTGCTGATGCAGTTTAACATTTGATAAATTCAGTTACTAACCTTGCAGAATCTGTTATTACACGAGAAACACTGCAGAGTATATTCGCAGGCTTTTCAAAGCTCTGATGACAGACTGTCATTTAGTCGCAAATTTGCTAAAACCTATTTTATTCTATTAAGTTTCTTACCTGATAGTTTAATTCATTCATCACAAAAAAATGTTTTTACATTTTAGAAAGTAAGATTGGCAGTTTTAAAACACTGGCAAGATATCTGTTTCAAAAGAAAATGAAGAATAATAATTAAAATCCCCCAACACCCAAGAACACCAATAAAGGATTGTAACTCTTGTGTGTGTGTATGTCTTTGTGTGTGCATGTGGGAATGTGTGCCATAACACTGCAGGGAGGGAGGGAGCTTAACAAGAGGGCACATGATGAAGGGATGGGATGTTTGGGGGATATATATAGCGAAGTAAGTAAGGTGTAGGAGGGAGATTAAGGCATATATAAAGAAGGATGCAGGGCTGAAAGGGTATGGGTGCTACGATGAAGAAATGGGTTGCTTTGAGGGAAGATGGTGCAGATGCTGAAAGGATGTGAAGCTGGGAGGAAAGGAGGTGCAAAGGTCATAGGGTGAGATTCTCAGAAGGTTGGAGGACTGCGAGAATGGAAGAGTGCAGGAAGAGAAGTAAGTAGGTGTCTATGATGAAGGGAGGGTGAAGGAAGGAAAGGAAGTATATGTCTGAAAAAAGGAGGGTGCAGGAAGGGAAGGAAGTAGGTGTCTATGATAAAAGGAGGGTGCAGGAAGAGAAGGAAGTAGGTATCTATGATGAAGGGATGGTGCAGGAAGAGAAGGAAGTAGGTGTCTATGATGGAGGGAGGGTGAAGGAAGGAAAGGAAGTAGGTGTCTATGATGAAGGGAGGGTGCAGGAAGGGAAGGAGGTAGATGTCTGTGATGAAGGGAGGGTGCAGGAAGGGAAGGAAATACAAAGTAGATGTCTGTGATAAAAGGAGGGCACAGGAAAGGAATGAAGTTGGTGTCTGTGATAAAAGGAGGGCACAGAAAAGGAAGGAAGTTGGTGTCTATGATAAAAGGAGGGTGCAGGAAAGGAATGAAGTTGGTGTCTATGATAAAAGGAGGGTGCAGGAAAGGAATGAAGTTGGTGTCTGTGATAAAAGGAGGGTGCAGGAAAGGAATGAAGTTGGTGTCTATGATAAAAGGAGGGTACAGGAAAGGAATGAAGTTGGTGTCGGTGATAAAAGAAGGGTACAGGAAAGGAATGAAGTTGGTGTCGGTGATAAAAGAAGGGTGCAGGAAAGGAATGAAGTTGGTGTCTATGATAAAAGAAGGGTACAGGAAAGGAATGAAGTTGGTGTCGGTGATAAAAGAAGGGTACAGGAAAGGAATGAAGTTGGTGTCTATGATAAAAGAAGGGTGCAGGAAAGGAATGAAGTTGGTGTCTATGATAAAAGAAGGGTGCAGGAAAGGAATGAAGTTGGTGTCTATGATAAAAGGAGGGTGCAGGAAAGGAATGAAGTTGGTGTCTATGATAAAAGGAGGGTGCAGGAAAGGAATGAAGTTGGTGTCTATGATAAAAGAAGGGTACAGGAAAGGAATGAAGTTGGTGTCTATGATAAAAGGAGGGTGCAGGAAAGGAATGAAGTTGGTGTCTATGATAAAAGGAGGGTGCAGGAAAGGAATGAAGTTTGGTGTCTATGATAAAAGGAGGGTACAGGAAAGGAATGAAGTTGGTGTCGGTGATAAAAGAAGGGTACAGGAAAGGAATGAAGTTGGTGTCGGTGATAAAAGAAGGGTGCAGGAAAGGAATGAAGTTGGTGTCTATGATAAAAGAAGGGTACAGGAAAGGAATGAAGTTGGTGTCGGTGATAAAAGAAGGGTACAGGAAAGGAATGAAGTTGGTGTCTATGATAAAAGAAGGGTGCAGGAAAGGAATGAAGTTGGTGTCTATGATAAAAGAAGGGTGCAGGAAAGGAATGAAGTTGGTGTCTATGATAAAAGGAGGGTGCAGGAAAGGAATGAAGTTGGTGTCTATGATAAAAGGAGGGTGCAGGAAAGGAATGAAGTTGGTGTCTATGATAAAAGAAGGGTACAGGAAAGGAATGAAGTTGGTGTCTATGATAAAAGGAGGGTGCAGGAAAGGAATGAAGTTGGTGTCTATGATAAAAGGAGGGTGCAGGAAAGGAATGAAGTTGGTGTCTATGATAAAAGGATGGTGCAGGAAAGGAATGAAGTTGGTGTCTATGATAAAAGGAGGGTGCAGGAAAGGAATGAAGTTGGTGTCTATGATAAAAGAAGGGTGCAGGAAAGGAATGAAGTTGGTGTCTATGATAAAAGGAGGGTGCAGGAAAGGAATGAAGTTGGTGTCTATGATAAAAGGAGGGTGCAGGAAAGGAATGAAGTTGGTGTCTATGATAAAAGAAGGGTGCAGGAAAGGAAGGGAGTTGGTGTCTGTGATAAAAGAAGGGTGCAGGAAAGGAATGAAGTTGGTGTCTATGATAAAAGAAGTATGCAGGAAAGGAATGAAGTTGGTGTCTATGATAAAAGAAGGGTGCAGGAAAGGAATGAAGTTGGTGTCTATGATAAAAGGATGGTGCAGGAAAGAAATGAAGTTGGTGTCTATGATAAAAGGAGGGTGCAGGAAAGGAATGAAGTTGGTGTCTATGATAAAAGGAGGGTGCAGGAAAGGAATGAAGTTGGTGTCTATGATAAAAGGAGGGTGCAGGAAAGGAATGAAGTTGGTGTCTATGATAAAAGGATGGTGCAGGAAAGAAATGAAGTTGGTGTCTATGATGAAAGCATGCAGTACTTGGAAAAGGAGCCTACGATGGAGGGATGAATTGCTGGGAAAGGCCTCATTTCATGAAGAGATGAAATTCTAGAAATGATGATTATATAATAAAGGGATTGGATGCAAGACAGGGGTCACTATATTAAAAGCAGTGGTGATAAAATGAAGCTTTTAAAGCAGGTGCTAGAAGGTGGAATCAAAAAACGATAAATAGAATTTGTACTGAAAGGACATGTGACCTGGGTGGAAAGGGTTTATAAGCAAAGTGATTGGAGAAAATGATCCTTACCATGAAAGGATTCTTACCATGGGAGAGAAGTGACCCGAATATAATGGGAAGTTGGTGGAAATGGGTTAAAAAATTGAGAGAGTGCAGAGAATGAAGCTGATACTAATTTACTGGGTTTGAATTGGAAGGAAAGAGACCCAGAGATGTATGTGTATATGCATGTTTGAGTCAAGTGGTCCATACAGTGTGGGTGATGGATTCTGGAGCATAGAAACTGAGATGAAGGGTGGTGAGAAGGTACACGGACAATGAGATGAAGAGAAGGAAGAAATCAGGTGCTGAGCGTGGAGGTAGAATATAGTCGCCATTAGTATTGAGATAAATATGTGCATAAGGTGAGGATGTGCACAGTGTCTGAAGGAAATGATACAGAAGAGGGATGCAGGAAAATCAAAGCTTGCCCCTATTGGTCCCCATTAGCTTTAAAGATGAATCTGAATTTAGAAATATGGCATTTGCTATTTTCATTTAGTATTGCCAACTTATGTTACCTTCTGCCAGAACGTCAGTTTTATTTAACCTCAAGTCATATTAGCAAATACCAGAGATGTGTATACTAAAGGTTGATGAGGGCCCTGCTTGAAAGTGCTTACAATCTAGATGTTCTGCCCAACACACTGATTAAAGGAACCCTCTAATTTAAGACTATGTCCTCTTGTTGTGGTAGTTTTTCTTCTTTTAAATATAGTCTCCTCCTTTACTGTGTTGATTCCCTTTATGTATTTAAATGTTTCTATCATATCCCCCCTGTCTCATCTTTCCTCCAAGCTATACATGTTAAGATCCTTTAACCTTTCCTGGTAGGTTTTATCCTGCAATCCCAGGGAACATGCACTGCTTGAAGAGTTTTATGAGTTACACTGATTTAAACACTGCTTAGTAAATCATCCCCATAGTGAGATTGAAAGGCATTGCAGGGAGCCTCTAAAATAAGATTAACTCATGTATAAATTGTGTACACCTGTGTATAGGTTGTGCTAAAGAAGGGAGTAAAGTTTAAAGGAATAGGAACTAAGGGTAAGGTAGCTTTAATTCCTTAGAGCTGCAATTTATATAACAAGTTTCACTGAATAAACAAAAGATTCTAGCCTCAAAGTTTAATAAATGAGCAAACAATATTACACTGACAACTCCAATTACAACAGAGTAATGCAATAAAAACAATAACAGATCAATAATTGATAGCGTCTTTCCAATTAAAATAAAAACAGAACTTTTACTGCAAAACCTAAATAATTTAAAGTGTTAGTTGAAATTAGTTGATTTTGATGGCTGTGGAACATTGCTGTAAAGAGGACACCCGGAGAAAACAATTAACAGTTCTAAAGCAATTTTACATATAACTGAGAGAAAGACTTTGAAATAGAACAAAGACATAAAATTATTGCAAAAAAGAAATCTAACAAGTGGTCCAATATGGACTGATTAATGACATACAAGAACATTGCTTGGGTGAATGGAGAGGGCACCTATGGCATCTGCTGCGTCAGTCCAGATTACCGGGGAATCAACAGAGATGGGGGGAACGAATAAGTACCTGCCATTCCATAAGGATAAGAATAAGTTAGTTCTGGAATCATCATCGGGGAGACTGTGTAAGAGAGAGAGAATTGTAGAAATGAAAGACCTCCCTTGAGGAACAATCCTCATAGCGAAATTGAGTGATCCTAGAAGTGATTGTAGTTCTTTCCTGGTGCAAGAACCTTGTGAGGTGCAGATATCAATAAATGCTAAAATCCTATCTACCTTTTCTTGAGGCAAGCTAGCTTGCTCAAGGAAGCAAGGTGAATGGTTAGAGTTAGGACCCACCTAGGGGGGTCTGCCTTGACGTTGGCAGGTGGGCTTACCCTCTCATGGCCATTGGAGGTAACTAAAAACCTCCATTTGTTTAAAAATACATAGGGATTAAGGGGAGAGGGCAGGTAACTTGTTTTTCTTTAGCTTGCATGGAAACTGAATTTAGTGTTATCCCCAGGAATGTAATCTCGGTGTTGGGACCGCCCGTTTTGTCCGGGGCTACCGGAACTGCTAGATTTTCAAATAGTGAAAGCATGTGATGTAGACTGCCTGGTGTGAAGTGGTGTGGTTCAATAGAGAGAAAATCGTCCCGATAGTGGATCACTACTGGACATCTGCATTTGTTAAGTAAGAGCCAAGTCAATGTTTCAGCGAAAATATTGAAAAATCTATGGGCTACTTTTGGAGCCAAAAGTTAGTCTAGTTGCAAAATAATACTTGTCTTCCCACTTAACGCTATGCGGATGCCAGAGTGATTGAAGAGTTGGTAGTAGTTTAAATGCATTTGTAATATCTGTTTTACTTAACCAAGCTGCCTTGCCGGAGTTAATGATAGCTTGTATGGCGTTGTCTTTTCTTGGATATTGTAATGAGAGATCCTCGGACGGTATTAGTGCATTTAAGCTAGGTGTAGTAGAAGAGTGAGGTGCTGAAAAATTGATGATGAGTCTTTTTTATTATTAAATTTCCCTGTAGCTATGCCTAGTGGGTTCGTTCTCCAGGAGGTGAAAGGTGGGGTAGTGAAGGGCCCTATAATGAAACCATTCTCGATTTCTTTATTGAGGAGTTCCTGCAGACTACTTGGGTCAGTGAGTGCAGACTGTAGGTTGGGGCATTCCAGAATTCCTGTGGGGAGTGCAACAAAACCCGTGTGAAATTCATTAGTGAAATTCATTAGTGAAATCAGAGGTGAGAAATTCTACCAGTTCTGAAAAAGGATAATCAGTCAGGTAACATGGAAAATTTGGTACGTTTATTGGTGAAGAAGATCTTTTTGGGTATAATCTGTTTGGACACATTGTTTTAGCATGTGCTCTGAAACAAAGTGAGCACACATGAAGGAGTCTGCAAGCACTGTAACTTCATCCGCCAGCATTGAAGTTATTACAGACATGAGCCTTCCCAAGAAAAATGATAGGCCTGACTAGTTTATCTCTCAATTCTCTTTGGGCCATATTGGGTTGAAATTCTGGGTTGGCATTGCTATTGGAAGGTATTGCGACGTTACTGGGACAAAAGTGAACAGTATGAGCAGCTGAGGAACATTTTGCACATGATGGTGTTTTAAGACCAAAATGTCTACAAAACAATTCTGTGTCTAACTGTCCCCAGTCGGTAGGAGTATTATATTGGGCCAGTGACGCAGCAGAGCTAGAAGCGAAGGACTTGTGTTAGTCGTAGAAGGCGTAGCCTCTGTATTTATATGCTAAGTCTATCAGCTTATGTAAGAATTAGTCAAGTTCCTCTCTACGGTGGGGAAAAGCAGAACAAATAACGTCCCTATATAGCCCGCAGGCGAGGAAAAATTCTGGAATATTTAACTTCCTGTTAAGTCTAGGGTCTCTAGACTTTATTACTACGGACAAGTAGTCAAACGTGTACGATCTATTCTCAATTACGTCTTGTGATGCTATGAGCAGAGAATGTGTAATAATGAGTGGAGCAAAAAGAAACACCACTTAGAGACAATGGAGAAAATGGTATACAAACTCCTTAAATGTTAGATGGTTCCTCCAAATAATGATGGTAATATGCAAAGGAAAAAAAAAGAAAAAAAATACAATGATAGTGCAGATGGTTAACAATGATTGATAAAACACCTCACATCTGCTTAATAAATCCCTTATTCATCTCATAATGTATGAAATTATATATCATCATAGCAATGATGGGCTTAAACAACCAAAATAAAAAAATTACATGAATCTATTGTCTGCTACATGCAGAATATGAAATCATAACATAAATACAGAAAAAAATTGTAAAAAGAATAAAAAAGATAAGGAGGGTGGTCACGTATTCATCCGCTTATAGAAATGTGGTTAATGACATTTACTGTCCACACAGGAAAAGTTGTGCCGAGCAGCAACCTAATCCACAGAAGGGTTAATGCTGAGCAGCAATTATGCAAATGAAACCTGGTAACTGACTTTGGGGTCAAAGGCCGGTTACAGCCTATCAGAACTAAAGGAGGGGTATTTAGGCCCAGTTCTCAGCCTGCTCAGTGCCCTGTCGTGGTTTCCCTTGTGGTTGTCCGAGAGCGCGTTCCTGTTTATAGTTTTCTACCTGGTTTTTGACTTTGGCTTTGTTTATTGACTTCTCTATATTCTGGTATCCTGACTCCTGGCTTTCCTCATCGCTGTGTCCCTTTCTGTGTTCCCTGACCTCGGCTAGTATTTTTGACTATTCTTTGTACGTTAAATCCAGCCATTCTAAGGACCGGTAATACATTACTTATTTGTCATCCGTGCTGTACAGTTCTACGTGCTGGATCAAACAGTAATCCTGACAGTTAGCCCCTTACTAGATACGGTGGTGAGTTAAATAGGCTTACGCTGTAACTCACTAAATTAGCTTGTAATGATAGGGTGGTAGGCAGGCTGTAGGGCACTTTTCCGGCTCGGCTGAATTGTGGATCAAATACTTTGATTAAAGTTTCCAAAAGACCGCTCCGAGTTCCGTGTGTAACAAGCTCCTCCCCTTGTGTGACATCAACGCGTTTCGCCGTATGAGCAGAGAAGCCAGATTAATGTTTTTCCCTTCTATAATGTCACCGTTTAATGTTTTGTGGAATGAGATGTACTGGGTTAATGATATTAGTACTTTTTGTGAATAGAGGGTTAGCATTTCCTCCTGGATTAGGCTCTGGCTGGGCTATGGGTACTTGAGCCTCTGGAATGGTTGGTCGGTTACTGGACTCCAAATTATCCAATATTTTTTTTTTTTTTTTAAGTACGGCTGT